CTGCATTGCTGAGCCGGCCCCATGAAGACTTGGCGGCAGCTTGTTCCGCTACCGACTCTACATAGCGCAACAAAAAAGAGCATGCTGACAGCAATCAGTTCCGAGTTGAAGTGACATTCACTTGCACTGGCCTTGCCAATCCTTGTGCTCTGAACCCCATCAGCACCAGCATTGAATCCTGGGGGCTGCGCTAACAAGCGAAGAAGCACATTGCACTTTTCCGCCACCTTCCCGGATAACAGAGCGACTTCACCTCCAATGTCAAGCGACGCCAGCAGTCCTCAAGCATCAAAGTAAGCTTGCTTCAGCGCTGGATTGACCTGCAGCGGGTCTGCAACTGCGACTCTCTCCGGTAATTCCCTTCACTGCCCCGCAGCCTGCGTGTAAGGCTTCCCCTCTCCCTGATCTGTTTTTATCGCTCATTGAGTGGCCTGCTTTTGTTAAACTTGGTCCGAATGTACACGTTCTTGGGCTTTCTCAAGGCGCTAGCAGTTCTAGAGTATGCTATTCAATCTGCCACAATGACTGCAAGAGCACTGCCGGGGAGTGCCTCGGAGCAGGGGTTAGCTCTGGCCTTGCTTCCTGTTTCACCTTCGATTGTAGGCTAGGGCCAATGACACAGCCCGACATCCCTAAATTCTAAGTGCTGACTTAGCTTTACACGTCAGCCGAAGACGTAGGAAGAATGCTCATCTGCTCCTGTACCGTCAAGTAATCGAATTGCGGAGGCCCCACCGGCCGATGTTACTAGCTAAGTCGCTGCCTATCCTGGCGCCACCTCACGCGACACTTCAGGTTATACTGAGGTAAGCTGCTGACAAGGCAGTTGTTCATCTACGCTATGAGTTTGCCTATCAAAACTTCATATTTCCCAGTACACCACTCTATTGATAGTGCCTCAGGCTTCTCAGTCTTCTCAAAGCTTGCTGTTGAGCTTATCCCGCCATTACTCGATGTGTCACTGCTCGTGTGAAGGCTTGATCTACTGTAGTCCCTGCTAGCAGATACCCCTCTCCTCAGGAACAAGGCCGTTACTGAAGTGTTCGTGCATCCAGTAAACACGTCACAAAGAGCACTCGTCTCTCTTTCTCAAAAGGTACGAACTAAGACACTTCCCCAACCGGCGGATGAAAGGTTTGAGTGACTGCCCATTCTTACGGCTATCATACTTTCCTGGTCGGCAAAAAGCTTACCAATGCATCACAAATGTTCGTGGGCAGACAAGGTGTTTTGCCAATGTAGAGCTATTGTGTTGATCATAGCTTGCAGGCCGCCCTCTCCCGCCCCAACCGGCCCTGCACCACCCTCAACTGCCATAGCATGCACGCTTCTTCTTTCCGCAATTTAAATGAAGAATGTCAGATTATTGAAGTGCTGAATGGATTGACTGAGGCCACACACTTACTGCATGGCAGTCTGACGTTACTCTGCATCCATAGCCAGTGATTGAGCAGGGCGAACACCTGGATTGAACCATGCGGTGCTACCACCTGTAGCGCTCAGCTAAGATCTGTGTGAGGGGAGCGTTGATTCTAGACTTCGCATAAATGGAGTAGAAAGTAGTGAAGTGTTTTTCGGAAGACCTCCCATTTTCCATTCTCCGCGACCACAGGGATTTCAATGCGAAGCGGTGCGCCACTACGGGTTCTCCTAGCTGTACCCTATATGGACCGTGAGCACAGCTAGCTATACATAGAATCTAGCGCACACGCACACAGTATCTCACCTTTTTGTTAAAAGAAACAACATTCTGCAATGAAAACTGTATACTTGCAGATTTATTAGTTTTTTACTTCTTAAAACCCCGTTAGTGAAATATAACTGGCGCAGTAGAAATTGGTTAACTTAACTTTAGCCCCTTGAATAGTAATTGTATTTACATAAGCTTTACTAACGAGTATAGTATGTAATTCGGCTCCTTGCAATTTGATCTTATCGCAGAGAGCTGTTAGCTAGGTAAGCGAAGATACAGAGGTGTGTACATGAGCAGTAGGTTTCCTTTACAACTAGATGTGAATGCTTGGGGTGCATAAAGGGTCAGCAAGGCCCATCTTAGCTGTCCCTTTTCCCTCATGTCTGGCACTTTGAGGGGCGCACGCAGGAAAGGCACGGAGCTCGTTTAATAAGCACTTTATTTCATTCTATTGGACTAACATTGAGTCTGTAAATAAGTGTCTCCCTGCGGAGACCTCAGATGAAGCGTTGAAGACACACATAACAATGCGTCTTTTAGTAGGGAGCTTACACTCTGTATTTATTTAGGTTTGCGAACAGTTTAGCGTTTCGATCCATTATTTGATAACTTCTAGTTATTAAACGCTAGTGTAATGGAAATTGCCCGAAATGTAGCTTAGCGCTGTACACTACGGAGTCCATTGATGGAACGTTTCAATTTGCTTAAATTGGATTGGGCTAACACGCAACTGCAACTAAGAGCATACACAACCAACTGCACCAACTAGCCAGTTCTACACCAACTCTGAATTCATCATAAGAAGTGTAGCATAAATGCCTAAATATACACTGGTTTGCTATGCGGTTGCACATTACAGATTAGTGCGCAGGCAGATAATCCTTATTGTTAAAAGCATGGATCTAACCATAAACTGCAAGAGAAAGACTGTAAGGGGAGCCACAGCAGTTCGTACACGCTTTAATAGTTTGTAGCCATGTATAATACGCACACTGTGGTGTAGCATAGCTTGGACCAGTACATCATACAGTGAACCCAATGAGGAACCGTAGAGTCCGAAGTTACTACGGGCAAGCAGAGAGTTCTTACTGTAAGGATAAGTGGTAGTCATCTGTAGAAGGCACTTCTTAATATTCACACCTATGGTCAAAATGTTTCTTACAGTTATTCAAGTTAGCGCTTACCATTGTTTCGGGCGTTGCCTCCATGCATGCACACTCTGTCCGTGAGGCATCTTACCGAAGACCGGACTCTAGCCTCGCGAATGGCTACGTTGATTCAAGTTTTGGCTTTTTATCTGTATATCAAGAATTGAGGGCCAAAACTAGCTAGACATACACCTATTTCAGTATCTGTTTGGCTGTTGTCAGCTACGCCTGCCCTGCGACCACCTGCACAGGCCAGTCCGCCGGTTTTTGTGTTTCATCCTTACACGCTGCTAGCCACTTGCTCCCCTTCCCTATGTGTAAGAGTGAGAAATTCAAAAGGCAGCTTCAAAATGCCGAATTCTTTTAGGGTAACGAGAGTGAATCGGATAGTGGCTCTCGGGTCCTTATCCGCCGTGCTCATCGTGTCTTCCTCGAGTGCCATCCGAACTCCAGTATTCAATTGGAGAGACCTACAGCCCAGCACATCCCCTGCAATCTCTCTTCAAGTACAGCGTGATATGAGCAATGCTCACGTTGAGCTGCCTACAGAATCCGCTCTTTCGCATCTTCAAGTCAAACTGCTGAGCGAAAAGGAGTCGGGGACTGAGGGGAAGGGGTCTGGGTCAGAGGCCAAAACGACAACCAATGCAGAAGAAGAAGATGGTAAAGAGTCCACTGCTGAATCTGAAACTGACAAATCAGAGGAAGAAGTGGGCAATGGCGGTGCGCACAGCCACGGAGGCGACCGCACATCAGAGGAAGAATCACAAGCTGAGCCGGCAGCGGCCGAAAAAAAATCGGATAAGCAATTTCACAGCCAGTCAGACAAAGAAGACTCTGAAAAGGTCACAAAGGAGGGCCACGGTCCTCACAATGCCTCTGATGAGGGCAACACGTCGCGTGTGGATGCACAGGAACTTCACCCTATGCCGCATGCTGCGACTGAGGGCAGCCACACCGGAAGCTCAGACGTAGCCCCAGGCAAAGGCTCTTCAACAGAGTATGCTGAGGTATCCCGTAGTGGGTTATCTCCGAATGGGTCTCGAGCCCATGGTGGAACAGCACACTCCACAGAGCGTGAACACCCACCGTACAGTCAACCAGACAGTGCATCAACGGGCGAAGGGCAAGCGGCAGAGGATCACGCAGGGGGTGCCCATGGGGGAGTGCCAGAACGAACTGGTCAAGCACCTTTTGAGCTATCCAAAAAAGGCACAGTTGAGGCCAGTGTACCAGTAGCGGCGCCACCATCAGATAAGTTTGTTCTGCAGCTCAACTTTAGGCCCTCAATGGTCATAGGGCGATCGGACGCAGACAGAGTGGAGAAGCATCTGGTAACAGAGAAAGATGGTACCACGTGGTTCCAAGTTGTCGGCCCTAAGGAACTAGCAGTCCTCAAAATAAAACCATTAGAAGGAGAAAGCCTTCTGAATGAGGTATCAGTCTCCAAGCAGGCCAGCTAAACCGGGACATGTGGGCATCCAGAGAATCCATGAATTGACCAAGCACGCGCGGACCCGAACACAAGTTTTGCCCTGTGGGTGCCCACAGGGAAGATGTTGCAAATACGCTTCATACAGGCAGCATTGTTTTTGCCATGAATGTTTTTTTACGGGGCAAGTGGCGCTGAAATTTGCAGTCCGAAATTCGTTATTGGGTGTGTAGACACCTGCGAAGTCGCAGGCATGATCCACAACTTGTTCTGCGGGGGACTGGGGTCGCCAAATTTTTACGTTGACTCTAAAACTAAAAATCTTCGTAAGCCACATTGTGCAACCCTCCGCAGTAAAATTTCAGAATGGCACATGGATAGTGGTATCCTCTTTTGGTGCCAAGCAATCTTGGCATCTCTACAACTACTTGATTTGCCACAGTGTATCATCTTTCGCCTACTGGAGAAGTACAGGCCTAATAAGCTTAGATAAAATGTAACGTACAGCTCGCCGGACAGCCACTTTGCAGAACCTCCCCGCAGCGAAGTCGTACGCGTGCAGGTCACTAGCCCATGGTGTGATGTATGATAATTTGTTAACGCATAGGGGATACAATGCCACCCGTTCTCAGTAAGTAAATTAATTGCCAAATCTCGGGGGAAAAGTGCTACCATAACGCGGGAAGGCCTGTCAAGTATCTGCTTAGCAAAAGAGCTCCCTGTTGAGCTACATGTCTGCAGTGTTGTTCATATGCGCCATCTCCGCTTCCCATTTACGCCTATTAATGGCCTGCAAGCACAAAAGTGCATCCCCCATTACCAGCTCACGAAATGAAAATCAGAAGCCCGTGTTCTTTTAATGAAGCCCCAGGGTAGTGGTGAACTGCTATGCTTTTAGTAGTCTGAGAAAAGCCTCTGGACAGCAGTGTATGTGGCACGTGAGCGCTCTAGATGAAAAATGAGAATGCCTGCTGACACTTTCGCAACTGTAGCTGTTGCTGCATTTTGTCTGACCTTAATATATTCCTCTTCGTAGCCGTTCCCGCGAACCACACCATCCCACCTATAACCCGGTTTGATGTTGAACCTATTTAGGGGAGCGTCATGAGGACAAGTTGGCTTCTCTGCAATTTCACGACCAGACAGATACCCGTAACTGCCCGGCTAGTGGCTGGGACAGTAAACCATATTGATGCAGGTCAAAAGAGGGCGCGGAAGAAAAGCGTGGACGGTAGAATAACGTACATCGCACTGGTTTCTTGAAAGAAAAAGACTTTCAGCAGCCCTAACGGAATGGCAAGTTAAGAAATATAACTACTGTTGAACAGTTAACGTAAAAAAGAGCAGCGCGAAGACTAGAAGGAAGCAAAACGATTTGTGTGATTCACTTGAGTTTCCCGCATCTTGTGTCTCTTCTTCCTGTTGCGTCTTTGCTCCTCGATTGGGCTGCTTGCTCGAAGAGGTCCCTCCCAAGGGGTCTGCCCATCTATCGCGGGATCTAAGATCCGCGTCGTATTCTTGATCGATTTCATACCTGGAAATATGGGACGAATAAAAGGCCAATGAGTAAGAAATCATGAACAAGGGCACACAAATATTAGGGAATAGATACACGGGCAGGGCCGAAGCAGCCCCTACCATCTGAAGAAGACGTGCCAAAAACAAGTGACGTATAAGGCTAGCAAACTATTGAACCTACAGCCTCTGACTATCAAATGATATAAGTTCTACAAAGCCATGTGATGCGTGTGAATAGGCATTGTCGTAAGGGTAGTAACGGGTTGTCCTTACCGTGCAAACGGTTGCTTGGCAAGCTTTTCCTCTTCTCTTTTTTTCAATTTGCTGTCTTCCTTCTGTTTCAGACCGGAGCCCCACTCTAATACCTACAAACCAAAAAAGGACCCAAGCAAAGAACCAGAGATAATAGCAGAGCTGTCCTGCGCCTGCAAGGCAACCCTCGCATCTGTATAGATGGGACCCAGTCCTGGAGAGCTCCGGCATAGAGAATAACGGCTTGGGAAAGGAATGGTCAGGGCCCTCTGTAGAGGCAGTTCACGTACCGGTGCAGGGCCCCTCTCCTTGCGTCTCTTCCTCCCCTTTGCTCCCTGCAGATAAGAAAAGGCAGAAACGGCAACTCAAGCTCATAAAAATTAGTGCACCACTATGGCGCGCAAACACAGCATCCAATCAACATGTTTACGCAAACGAAGTAAACGAACAAACAAGATATGCAACCGCATACAAGGGAGCACCGCCTCCACCCTCCGTAGGTACATGTGAAAACAGAGGGCTCGCAACTGGTCTTAAGAACTGCGCAACCTGGAGGTTTGTCTCTGGCCATCAAGTAGGACTCAAACTCCAAACACAAAACATGCAATGCTACGCATTGAGCCGCGGGCCCGGCATTCTACGATAGAAGAGAATAATGTAAGAACATATTTGGGATTTGAGCCTTGAAATTGCCGTTATTTTGGTTTGCGACCTCGAGAGTAAGCCATTCCTCTTCCGAGATGATGCGGCCCTCTGCGTCCCTAAACACAACTTGACTCGACTGTGATGCCACTTCTCCTCCACCCCTGCACAATAGACACCCCAAACGGAACAAGCCTACACTAAAGCCTAAGCCTCGAATCCGGGACTCTCTCTTGGCATTTTTATTTGAAAGCCCCAAGTGTTCCATGGCATCATACCCGATTACGAGAACTAACACGGACCCCTAATAAGGAAATCGTACAGTTAAACCTTCAAACCCAGACCTTGAACACTGCTCCATTAACTCTTTGCCCTGACCGATCAGCAAAGACCGAAACAGGAGACATCATTTCACAGCGTGACAGAACAAAAAAAATGAAGGCGTACCGTTGGGTTGCACTGCGGCTCGCGGATTCTTCTTGATGGCGCGTTGCAAAGTTATCTCTAGTTGATGTGTCTAAAGCCCCTGGATACCGCTCAGAGGAGCTCTCCGCAGGCAAAGGACTACGAGAGGCGAGAGTGGGCCTCCTAGGAGGAGACAAATCTCTTTCCCGTGGTCGCCGTGGGGGAGACAGATCCTCGTTTCTTCCCTTCCTCGGAGGGGAGAGGTCTTCTTCGTGTCGGTTACGAGGAGGAGACAGGTCCACACTTCCTCTCGTTTTGGGGGGAGATAAGTCTTTGTCCCTTGGTCGCCGTGGGGGAGACAGATCCTCGTTTCTTCCCTTCCTCGGAGGGGAGAGGTCTTCTTCGCGTCGGTTACACGAAAGGGACGGGTCCGTGCTTCTCGCCTTTTTCAGAAGAGACAAGCCTGTGTCCCTTGGTCCTCGCCGTGGGGGTGAGAGGTCCGCATTTTGTTCCCCCCTTGCAGGTGAGGAATCTGTATCTTGCGCCCTTTTCCTGAGTGACGGCGTGCACTTCTTACTTCCCATTGATTGTAGAGACAAATCCTGATGCGTACGTCTCGGATGAGACACAGCAGTATTTTCCTCTGATTCGTCTCTTCTATCCCCGTGAAGACTTGGGGTCGATGGCGGTCTTGCTGTCTCCAGCAGAGGACCTGTGACTGCAAAGGCCTCCTTCCATCTCTCATTCTGTTTAGGCTCTTCTGAATCTCGCCCAGGTGACTGTCTGAGATGCCGTACCGCCCTCTCGGCGTCCCCAGGGGACCGCGTGAAGCCTCCGGCTTTCCATGCATAGGAAGGTAACTCCTTCCCCTCTTCCTTGGCAATAAGCTCGGCAACTTTCTTCTTATCTGCCTCACTGAGAGCCAGCGTCTGCCCATCCTCACCAACAACCTTTACTTCCTCTTCGTCAGAATCGGGCAGTTCCTCTGCTTCAGAGTCCTTGAACAAAAACTTGTGGCCATCTGGCGCCCGCCTAAGCACCTGAAACAGGGCTTTCTTGCGGGACCTACTTTTTTGGAAGGTCCCCTGCTGACCTTCCGTGCGTAAATCCTCGTCATCACTACCTAGCTTCAGGCTCCCAGAACTAGGAGGATTCCGCGAACGTTGGGGGCCCTTGCTCTTTAGATACTTCTTCAGGTACTCCGACTTGCCCGTCATTGAGGTATTTGTCTACCAAAGAGGAGCCTTAGGTTGGGCAGACGGCGCAGATTGAGGTATTTCCTGTCAAACCATAGTGTTGCTACCTTGGGTCAGTGTGCACAGCCCGCATGCATCACGCACGGAAAGACAGCAAAGGTGAGCGACATCCAGAATCTAATTAAGTTACCTGTATTATACTTTGCACATATGTGATCTGCCCCTTTTTCGTTTAGCCCAATATCCAGTGTTACCTCTCCTTCTGCTTCTGCCCCTGCAAGCTCAGTGCACACAGCAGGGACCGCCAGTCCTGGCATTCCATTGCCTTCCGTTGTTTCTGTCTCGTAGTCTTCGGCTCTAGTGTACATTTTATTATAACGAAAGGGAGGCGAAAAACACGCAGCATTCTTCCTTTCTTGGCTTTTCTATCCCCTCATCCTTTCTCATGTCCCTCCGTCTTACTGTTTTCGCTGCATCGACTGACTGCTTCTTCTCTCTTCCTCAGTTCAATTATCTGTATTTTTTGGTGTGTTATACCTGCTGCTCTCCATCCAGCTCGCCCTCCGTAATTCCCTCGGGATCCAAGGCTGGGCCCCGACGGGGTAGGGTTTCGGGTACGGCAGGGTAAAAATAGTGTTCTAGGGCGAAGACTCTCTCTTCCTTTCGCCCTATTACAGATGGTACGCAGGCTATCCTCCGAAGGAAAATCGGGGCTATCCAGCCATGAGGACGCCTGTTGGACTTCCGAACAGAACACATGCAACAATGGTGAAAGCGTCTGCGCAGGAGACCAGCGAGAGGCGACCGGACGATCGCCTTGCTCTACTCAGGAAGACGTGTTCCAGTTGCCAGCTGAGGTTTCAGAGGCATCTGAGGGAGCCCCTGTGGAGCCACGCTTGTTACGGCTGAGGGATTTTTGCGTACGAGCGTTGCAGAATGCATTCGCATCCTTCTCCCGCATTTTACGGAGGATATTGGCGATCACAGCTTCCCTAAAGGCGACCCGATTCTTTCTGGACCACAAGCAGCTCAAGCTAGTGGGAATTGCTCTGCTGATACTGCTAGCTCTACGCCTGCGTCGCTACCGTCTTACCGATTGGAATTCCAGGCGCCGTTTGTGGTCTCCGAAGAAAGTGCCTGGAGCCCCCCTTTCAGTATTGGGTTCAAAATATCAGGGTCCCTCAAAGTCTCTTGATACCTCCTCCGCTGGTTCTCCAAGATCACTATTCACTTGGCCAGCAACCCGCCGAGCCTTCTCAGGAGTCCCAGAGATCTCCTTTTCTGAAGTGCTAGAGTTGGTATCGGCAGATGCAGTGGAAGAAGTGCATTACAGCTCTGGTTCTCGCTTGCTGTTGCTGCTGAAAGACAGAAGACAGTTTGCCTCCACATTAGTGCCGGGGGCAGATGCATCGTTCTTCAGAGCTGTAGCAGCGCGTGTCCCCAGATTTCGCTTTGTCAGAGCTGCCAGCGTCTCAGAAGCTGTTTCATTTGTTTTCCCTGTGGTTTTGCTTTGTCTCTGGTGGCGCATGCTGCGCTCCCTGATAGATTCCTCAAGGGGGAGCAAGGACACGGGGACAGACAGGGGCCTCGAGGTTTCTCCACCCCTCACTGCATTCTCAGATGTCGTGTCGCGTCAGAAGCATGAGTTGCTCGAGGTGGTGTCTCTGCTGAACGGAGAATGTCGATACGCAGCAATGGGGGCACGCTTGCCGAGGGGAGTGCTGCTGGTGGGCCCTTCCGGGACAGGCAAAACGTTACTGGCGAGGGCTGTCGCAGGGGAGGCGCGGGTTCCCTTTCTCTCTGCAGCAGCCTCCGAGTTTGTGGAGGTCTTTGTGGGACAAGGAGCTCGCAGGGTGAGGGAGGTGTTTCAGGCTGCGCGCCGCAGGGCTCCTTGTGTCTTGTTTATAGATGAGTTAGATGCCCTAGGGAACCGACTGAGCCCTTGGGGAACCCTTTCTGGGCACGAGGAGTATGTACAGACGGTGAATCAGTTTCTTATGGAAATGGACGGAGTATGTGGGGGCAGTCTTGGAGTTGTTGTTATTGGTGCCACCAACAGACTGGAAGCGATTGACCCTGCCCTGCTACGTTCTGGCCGATTTGATAGGCACATTCATCTGCAACTGCCTTCCGCCCAAGAGAGGCACGAAATACTTAAGCTGCATGCTAGGAGTAAGAAGCTCCGGCTGGTGCGGGAGGCTTGGGCTCATCTCCAGCTGGTGGGGGATGCAGCCGAGGGGCTGAGTGGTGCAGACCTCGAAAACCTCCTTAACGAGAGTATCTTTCGGGCTGTTCGGAGGGGAAGAGAGGCAGTAGACCCTCAGGCACTTGATGAGGCGTTACTTGCACTCTTGCAACGAGCAGAACGACAAAACATTCCTTGTTCCTAACATAAATATCTCCTGCATTTTCCTGTTGCATTGCGTGTTTCTTACTTGAGAATTCCCTATGTCGCTAAAGGAGCATACACGTTTACATCTGCACGCAATCTACCTATACATAATCGTGTTGTGAGTGCAAATACACCTATGCATTTTCATGCAATTGCATAGCATTTTTGTACATCCTATCTACCCATGTAAGGACACATAGGACGTTGAGTGCTGTTAGAGTACTAGGGAATACACACTAATGCCAGTGTCCTGGCATAGGGCATTAAATGACCGTAGGATAAGGAAGGGGACCGTGCCAATCTACCAGAATCGGGTAGAATCAGTATGCCCTAAAAGCAAAATTAGATCTTCATGTAGTGCTTTCCACTGTTTGAATAGACTTTAACCAGTTAGGGGGGGAGGGGGAGCTACATCATAAGAGGAATCTTCTGACGTAACCCCTTGCTTGTGAGGCTCCCTCCATGGTGTCTGCTGGAAGACGCTTAGCTCCTGACTCTCGCACAAACCATTGAAATTACGGTTGTCTGTCTTATGAACTTTCTTTCTCCCTCACTCGTGCCCTTCAAAGCTCCCCCTGGAGGGGAAACGATCCGTTGGCGTGCTTGTAAGTGGACCGTTCATGGACTTTGAGCATGCAAAGCTAGTTACACACAGCATCTAGCGCACACAGCATCTAGCGCACACAGCATCTAGCGCACACAGCACTGCAACATCTTGGTTCGAGCTAAGCCGATTGACAGCTCTTCACTAATTCGTATTTAAACATATCTAGTGCGCTAGCAAGTGGCTTCGTGTAGTTTAGCTCGCGACATCTTCCCTCCGCCATCGACCTATTTCAAACGCACCCCTGAATGTTGAATACCTCTCGCCTGTACCAACTGCGTGCAGGACGGCAGAAGAGCTCGTGACCCACCGTCCTTTCCCAGGCAGGTGGAAAGGCGAAAAAAACCAACCGTTTTTTTCCTGCGACACTTTCAAGTCTATGCTCACAAAATACCCGGTTCCATGGCTTGATCCTCTTTTGCTCGGTTTGCTACCACTTTAGTGATGCCTTCGATGCACTTCAGTGTAGAATCGCACGGCAGGAGACACCATGATTTTACGAAATACTGAAAACTCTTCGTAGAACACACTGAAAGATGATAGTTGGCCTGGGCTTTAAAACAACGCCTATCTAAATACTGCTGGCATCTAGTTACGCCCTAACAGCACCACGCAGAGCTTCTTTGCCCTCATCAGATACCAGTGCCTGCTACCGGTGAGGCGATGAGCATACCTAGCAACCCCTTTAATGTTTTGGAGAGGCCGTGATTAGTCGACAGAGAATAGCATCCACCATAGCGTCACTAGCATCTGCTGTTACGAAGAATGAAGGCTCATTTTCAGGCAGCCTGAATACCTTCGTAGCTCAAGGGAGATCTATAGGAGCCTTTGCTGCAGCTTCAGCTTCCTCTGTCCAGGTCATAGGCTGCCCTTTCTGAGGCAGGTGAAGTGATGAGCAGCGATCCTAGCAAACCCAAAAATCGAACTTTGTTAATAAGATGCAAGGCCAAAGAACATCGCTACTTCTATGTGGGTGAGTAACGGTGAAAGGACAGCCTTGAGTGCATCAAAATGTTGCTAAATTCGGCTGAAATCTTCCAGGCAAAAAACAATTTCGTACATGCGTCTCTTTTCGTGCAAAGCCAAAACTTGCCTATATTCACGCAGCGCCGCTTGCCCCGCAACAGGTGGAACGCACGCCATACGTGCAGTAGGTGCTCCTGAAAGCCGAAGGCTAAGACGTCATTCATGTACACAGCCGTCCACCTCTTCTTTGTTGCTTCGTTGAAAGCCGTATTGGGATGTCGCTGCACCTGCAGTGAAGCGTTAACTAACGCAAACGGCATACAGGTATACTCGAAATCGCGAGTCCAGGTGTGGAACGCCGTTTTGTGCTTGTCATTTAGGATGATCAATGATTTGTGTAAAAGCGTGCGTCAAGTCGAATGCTGAGTAAATTATTGCTTCGCAAATCGACTTGCCAAATAGGGTCTTCAGGAGCCCTGCTTCAGGGCTAGCTTGTTCAGGAATTCACAGCTAAGCTGACGCACGTTCCCATCTTCCTTCCTCTTTCTGCATCAACACTTATTTGTGCCCAAAGGCACTGGTCGGTCCGTCCACTTTGCTTTTCGACAGATCATTCAGGTGCCGCTTGATTTCCTCTTGAGGCTTTGGCCAACTGGCTAATGTCTTTGCCAGAGCAATGGGGTGTTCAGGAGCATCAAGCGACCTCAAAGCATCAGCGACCAGCAGGTGTCTATCCTGCTGGCAGCTCGTCGTCATGTAGCAACTCCTCTAGCTCCTCCTTGATATATGCCTATTCCCAGTGTTTGTCTGCTAAAGATTCAGCTTACATCCCTAGTAAAGAGCCAGTTGCAAGGCCAGCACGACGGAATGCGCGCTCAAGCGCTTTACCTTACTGCATTGCTGAGCCGGCCCCATGAAGACTTGGCGGCAGCTTGTTCCGCTACCGACTCTACATAGCGCAACAAAAAAGAGCATGCTGACAGCAATCAGTTCCGAGTTGAAGTGACATTCACTTGCACTGGCCTTGCCAATCCTTGTGCTCTGAACCCCATCAGCACCAGCATTGAATCCTGGGGGCTGCGCTAACAAGCGAAGAAGCACATTGCACTTTTCCGCCACCTTCCCGGATAACAGAGCGACTTCACCTCCAATGTCAAGCGACGCCAGCAGTCCTCAAGCATCAAAGTAAGCTTGCTTCAGCGCTGGATTGACCTGCAGCGGGTCTGCAACTGCGACTCTCTCCGGTAATTCCCTTCACTGCCCCGCAGCCTGCGTGTAAGGCTTCCCCTCTCCCTGATCTGTTTTTATCGCTCATTGAGTGGCCTGCTTTTGTTAAACTTGGTCCGAATGTACACGTTCTTGGGCTTTCTCAAGGCGCTAGCAGTTCTAGAGTATGCTATTCAATCTGCCACAATGACTGCAAGAGCACTGCCGGGGAGTGCCTCGGAGCAGGGGTTAGCTCTGGCCTTGCTTCCTGTTTCACCTTCGATTGTAGGCTAGGGCCAATGACACAGCCCGACATCCCTAAATTCTAAGTGCTGACTTAGCTTTACACGTCAGCCGAAGACGTAGGAAGAATGCTCATCTGCTCCTGTACCGTCAAGTAATCGAATTGCGGAGGCCCCACCGGCCGATGTTACTAGCTAAGTCGCTGCCTATCCTGGCGCCACCTCACGCGACACTTCAGGTTATACTGAGGTAAGCTGCTGACAAGGCAGTTGTTCATCTACGCTATGAGTTTGCCTATCAAAACTTCATATTTCCCAGTACACCACTCTATTGATAGTGCCTCAGGCTTCTCAGTCTTCTCAAAGCTTGCTGTTGAGCTTATCCCGCCATTACTCGATGTGTCACTGCTCGTGTGAAGGCTTGATCTACTGTAGTCCCTGCTAGCAGATACCCCTCTCCTCAGGAACAAGGCCGTTACTGAAGTGTTCGTGCATCCAGTAAACACGTCACAAAGAGCACTCGTCTCTCTTTCTCAAAAGGTACGAACTAAGACACTTCCCCAACCGGCGGATGAAAGGTTTGAGTGACTGCCCATTCTTACGGCTATCATACTTTCCTGGTCGGCAAAAAGCTTACCAATGCATCACAAATGTTCGTGGGCAGACAAGGTGTTTTGCCAATGTAGAGCTATTGTGTTGATCATAGCTTGCAGGCCGCCCTCTCCCGCCCCAACCGGCCCTGCACCACCCTCAACTGCCATAGCATGCACGCTTCTTCTTTCCGCAATTTAAATGAAGAATGTCAGATTATTGAAGTGCTGAATGGATTGACTGAGGCCACACACTTACTGCATGGCAGTCTGACGTTACTCTGCATCCATAGCCAGTGATTGAGCAGGGCGAACACCTGGATTGAACCATGCGGTGCTACCACTTGTAGCGCTCAGCTAAGATCTGTGTGAGGGGAGTGTTGATTCTAGACTTCGCATAAATGGAGTAGAAAGTAGTGAAGTGTTTTTCAGAAGACCTCCCATTTTCCATTCTCCGCGACCACAGGGATTTCAATGCGAAGCGGTGCGCCACTACGGGTTCTAGCTGTACCCTATATGGACCGTGAGCACAGCTAGCTATACATAGAATCTAGCGCACACGCACACAGTATCGCACCTTTTTGCTAAAAGAAACAACATTCTGCAATGAAAACTGTATACTTGCAGATTTATTAGTTTTTCACTTCTTAAAACCCCGTTAGTGAAATATAACTGGCGCAATAGAAAGTGGTTAAGTTTAGTCCCTTACATAAGGGTTATATTTACCTACGCTTTCATAACAATCTTTTAATTTGTCAAATGCCAAAGTATTACTCCTTAACATCACGGGAATTCTGGGCAGAAGTAGTACACGAAAGCAAAGGCGAGCTGCCTGATATGCGACAGGTAGTAAGAGGTTGAGCATACCAGGGCTGCCTTACGGCTTCCTTTTTGTATGAAGAAGCGAAGTACGGAAGTATGGGAGGCAATAGAAGCTCAAAAAGCCGCCGTGGGGTTCCTCGTCACTCGTATACTTTTTTCGTTTGATTTTATGCACTGCTACTTCTCGTTATGTTGCTTTGCGTAGCAAAGACTCTGGCTCAAAAAGATTTGCTATGCAGACGTTCCTGTTAGACCAGGTCAGTTGTATGTCTGACTCTGTGCTGCTTGATCCTGCTAATATGAACCAGTAGGAAGGCGAAGTAGAAGGTAAATTCCGTACGTTCGGCACAGTGATTGGGCATTTATTTGCCTTTTTGCAGTATTGCGACTTCCTGCAAGTGCTAAGAAGGCAAACGTCCCTTAATGTTCCATTCTCGTTTACTTCTGAATTGTTGGGCAGAAACGGATTCGTTTTTCATCGTCGATTGGCTCCAGAGAAGCCGAAAATATCATAAGGTGTTTTTAGCTGCATAGGCAAGTTAGCGGAGTCAAGCATCCAGGCTAACCT